AGCTGGGCCGACTTGTAGCCGCCGTCCTTGAGGCACGCTGCCAGGATCTGGATCTTCCGGTGTGTCATGGGCCACCGCTCCACGCCGTGCCTCGCCGCCAGTTTTATCCAAAGGGCAATGCGGGAGTCCACGGGTGGTAGAGGCAAGGACCGCCCCCTCCAGCGCGTCGATTGCCCGCTGGGTGTTCCTTGGGTCCGCCGCTTCTAGGGCTGCCTGGATCGATGCACGTTGGGCCGGCCGCCGGTAAGGTAGGTCAGCCCTGCTCGGCACCAGCGCCGCGCTGTTCTGGCGGGATGGCCCCGGTACCGCCGGAACGGCCAGGGCCACGATGACCTGTTCGGGCACGCCGGCCTGCAATAGTGCTGGTCCCGCGGGCCCGAAAAGTGGTCAGGCAGGCCCCGCCGCCTGCTGCAGACACTTCGGCCAAGAACGCCGCGAAAGTGCCCGGCTGAACTTCCGAAGCCGGCGCCGCCGCCATTGAGCCAAAGTAAAGGAAGGGAAGCTGCGCCGGGCTGGCTTCTGACTTCGGGCCAAAAGGGCTGCGGGTTAGGGTCGGGCGCCGGGCAAAAGGGGAGCAAAGCGCACAGACTCCTTTTTGGCGCCGGGCGCGGCTCATATCGATGCGCAGGCGTCGGCCTTCGCCGAACGCCGCGAAACATGCACAAAAGAACTCTGATCAAGCAACCCACGCCGAGCGTGACCATCGGGAAGGCGTCGCGCCGACCAAGCCAGCGCCGAAGAAGATCCCGCCGAGGTCCATCGCCCGGCCATGGGGCGCCTCAGCGCCGCCCCCTGCCACTCAGGCCTTCGCACTGCGGGCATTTGTGGCTGCCCGATGCGCCGAGCCCTGGGCGCCGAGGGCCACCGGCCGTAGGCATCTGCCTTCGCCGCCGCATACAGCGTCGCGGTGGGGCACAGTGCAGGGATGTGCACACCACCCGACTATGCGCCGTTCTTCGCGGCTGTGGTGCAGGGTGATCCTGGCAGTCGCCGCAAGAACGGGTAGTCCGTCTCGGGCCTGTCCTCGCCGCAGCGTGGCGTCGGTGGGCGGGGCACCGCGCCGTTGGCCTCAATCTCCCTCAGTTCCTGGAGGGAGGTATAGGCAAAGCGCCGCAAGTTCGCCGGGACTGGGGTCTCCTCTGCGGACGCGCCGGCCCTCTCCATTCGCCGCTTGTAGTCGAAGTACTCCGCCGAGATGTCCCCGGCTTCTTCCGCCGTCCAGGGAGCCTGGCCGCCCCAGCGTCGAGGGTCATACGCCTCGAACTGGCGCCGCTCATGTGCTGAGGCCTCCCGGCGCCGCCGCTCGGCTCGCATCGCCTCTGTTGGCACCGAAGAGCGCCGCTGGCTTGCGTTCGCCGGGCGCTGGCCGACCGGAGGAAAGCTGGTGTGCTTCGCCGCGGCCCTGATCCTGGCCAGCGCCGCCTCGTCGAGTGGCTCCTCCCAGGGCCGCGGCTGGCTGTCCCGAGGCCGGCGCCGCCTTCACAGGCATCTCCGCGGCCTGGGTGGCTGGCGACGCTATCGGCGGTGCTGGCGCGGCCTTGAATGGCAGCGCTGCCTCCGGCCCGGCTGGCGCCGCTTGTCTGATCTGGGGCGGCGCCGCCTTTCTTGGCACGGTCGCCGCCTGCTGTCTGAGCATTGCCGGCGCCGCCTTGATAGGAACCGCGGTCTGCATCGGCTGCTGTGGCGCCGCCGCTGGAACTGTCACCGACGCCGCGATGCCAAGGTCGGGGTGGATGTGGCCATCGCCGGGCTGCTCGCGGCTGGGGTCCACCGTCAGCGCCGTAGGCGGGATGTTGGTCGCCGCTGACCCCTGGTGCTTGGGCTGCGCCGTCGGTGTGGTGGCCCCCGAAGCCAGCGCCGATTCTGCCTCCATCGCCGCCAGGCCTGGGAAGAAGGGCGGCCGCGTGGCCCTTGCGTCCGGGGGTGCCCGCCGCACCGAACCGGCCGGGGTCGTCGTGCCCGAGGCTGGCATCGACGTAAGCGTCGCGACCTCTCAAGGGTCTGCTCGCGCCGCCAGCAGCGCTTTGGCCTTGGCCTTGGTGGCGGCGCCGATGAAGAAGTCCGCGGCCACCGGTGAAGATGCCGTAGAGATCGCCGTCGGAGTAGCCATAGGGAGCGGCGCCAACTGGTCAGGAGGCGTCGCCGCAACGGGCGCAATCCGGGTCCCCGCCGCAGAAGGCGTCGGTGGTGTAGGCGCAATAGGCGTTGGCGCCGCGGCTTTGGGCGAGGCCGCCGCCGAGGCAGATCTGCCGGCCATTCCCGTCGCCACCAGTGGACCTCCCAGGACCACATCGTCGTCGGACTCCTCGCCGACCTCGGGGATATTCTCCAGAATCCCGGCGCCGCTCATCCCAGCCGCCGTGCCCTCAAGCAACAGATTCGCCGCCTGGGCGGCGTCGTTGAGGTCGGCGACAGCGTCCGCCGTCATCTCCCCCAGCACGGGGACCCATCCCATGCGCCGAGCGGCGCCCAATGCCGCCGTGAGCTCCGCCGCGATGGTGATGGGGTTGGATGAGGCCATGACCGCCGAAGGCACGATAGGAGGCTAGAAGAAAAGCTGAAGCGCCGAGCTTGGACCAGAGTGCTAAAGGCAGCTACACCGTTGCGATTGTTACTTCGCACACAAGTGTGCTACTCGACAAAGCCACGACTTGCCCAAAGCATGCGTCTCGGCGTCCTTAGCTGCGGGTGACGTGGACGGTGCTGCATCTGCGTCCTGACAACACATGCTCCAAAGAGAGCTTGGACGCTTCGAAAAAGGCAGCGATCGTTCGCCGTCCTTGGCTTCTTTCGCTTTGGCCTTGTCCTTGTCCAAGGATCCATTGCTCTTGCCTCTCAGGATTCCCTTGAAGGCCTCGGTGCTACAGGTAGCCGTTGGGCTTCGGCTCAATTGGAAGACTGAAGTGCCGCACCGTCTGAAGCTTCAAAGCCGCCACCTCCGTGGCAAGCGGCTCCAACGGTTCCCCGCCGTATTCGCGGCAGATTAGCGGCAGATGCGCAGCTCCGGCCTCCTGCTTCAAGTCCTTCATTGGGACCTTCCCCGCGCCCAGGCCCTTGCCTTCCTTTCCTTTGCCTCTCAGCGAAAGAAACGAGCATCTCCGAGCCCTGCGAGCTCTGCGCACTGCGGCTGAGCACGGTGCTGGTTGCGAAGCTAAGGCCTTCTGCTAGGCCGTCTTTCCTGATGGATGACACTCTTTGGCGCACAAAGGCGTTGTGGCACCTTTTTGAGCAGACTGTGCCCTTCCCGGGGCGTTCACGCAATTTTGCTGTGGATGCGGAGCTCGCTCTTTTCGATCAGCCTGCAGGGGCTCCAATAGCAGGGATTCTGTAGACACTCCCGAACTCAGAACCTGTAAGTTGGCGGTGACCTAAAGACAATTGCAAGCCGTAGACATGAAGCCACCTCCGCAGCTTCTCACGCTGCTTCTTGTCCATGTGTTCCTAGCAGAAAGCAACAGATTAGGTATGGTGGACCGTCTCTTCAAGCTGAACTTATGCCAAGCCCTTCACTAAACCCAGCCCTGGCAGAAAAGAGTGCACGCCCTGTGCCGGGTCCTCAACTGTGTCAAGGTCTTCGAGACTTGCCTCACAAAAGAGCTTGTTCCAGAAACTGCGGATGTAGTTGCGAGCCGCTTCATGTGTCAAAGACACAACAGGCTCACATCTACGTCGTGGTAAATGCTAGTGTTTAAGGATGCGCGCGTGTATTCCTAAGAAGGGTACGAGCGTGCAGACGTTTCAGCAGCTGTCGGACGCCCTGATCGGTCGAACTACTATTGCTACTACTGCTGCTGCTGCTGGACTGTTGGCGGATGCCTGCCCATGACAGGCCCATGAAACCACGACCAGACAGTTCGTATTTCCGGCGCTGCAGACGGCGAGGTGAGGTCTGGGGCAAGTTGAGGTGAGGTTCTGAAACTGCCGAGCTAGGGCGGATCTAGCGCACCGTGCTGTTCTATAAATACCCCAAAACGACCTATGGCTGGATGCTCGATCGGATACGAAGCAGAGCTGCCAGAAACCGCGCAGAGGCACGTACAGTGCGCCAATCTTGGAAGCATGTATGAACCGCAAACCTCACAAGCCCACATACCGAGCTTGGACTTAGAAGCACATGGCTGCCACAAGCCACGCCAATCCACGTACCGAGCGTGGATGTGGATCTTTGAAGCACGTGGCTGCTACAAACCGAGTGCTGATCTTACACTACCTGCGAAGCCTCAACAGGAAAAGTACGCTAAAGGATTGGGATGACGCTTGAGCAGGCGGCTCTAAACATGCCGAGCACCATGCTAGCGGTTTTCCTAGCACCAAAATGGGTAACTGATCGTAGCAAAGAGCAAAAAGATGCTCCCCAAACGCATTAATGTCAATCCGAATAGCCCCACAGACCTGCGACTTTCGAACGCAATGAATCTTCAGGCACGGCACAGCCATGCGTAGCCGCACAGTACACACCAACACAACAGTCTGGAGTCTGGCAAGTAAGTTTCGTTCAGGAGTCCATTGCCCGAGGCTGATGCCAGATCGTCCCCGAGGCAGACGAATCTCATAACCTGATGGAAAAGCTGCGGCCAAGCGCGCTCCAAAAGAAAGACCGAAGTGCCTGCTTGCACGCTGAGATGAAATGGACCCGTCCGTTCTCGCCGACCTCCAGGCAAGCACGTGCAGGTGCAAGCAGCCGGTGCATGCTAGATCGTGCGAGGCTGGTAGTCATAGGAAACGCCATTTCACTGGCTGCTGCATGTTGGCGGCAAGCAAAGCTTGCACTGCTAACAATCACTGGAGCTACTGTCATCGGCACCGTGCCTGAACGTCGAGCGCGGCAACGTACTTCATCGGCAGCGACTGCAGCAATAAATACTGCAAACTACAAGTTGCTTTCGGACTTGTCCGAAGAGCTACTATATCTCGAGAGTTCCAGCCTGCAGGACATGCAGTCCGGACCCGGAACCTGCCAGGAGTCACTCCAGTGAGCGTTCCATTCTTGCGATTCTCCCGAGGCTGACCTGAAGAGCCTGGACGATCGCCTTTGGATGCAGATGCGTAGCTGTGGTGCCTGGGGGTTTTGCATACTCTTCTGGCACAGGCAAAGGACGTCGTTAAGCAAAGCCTTCTCTGTAAGCTCCATACCCGTCAACCTCTCTGAGAGCCTGCACGGGGTCGGAAATCCGGACTGGGCAAGCCCAGAACGACAGAGAACAGACGATGCAGCGAACCTTGTTGATGAAGCTCAAGGCTTCTCCCAGTGGCAGTGACCTGAATTTGATGTGTAAGGCGCAAACTCCATTGAGATCCCGACTCTGTAGCAACTACAGTGTCTTTGTGCTGCTGCTTGTGGTGGACTGATGACTCAAGCAACTAACTTCTGGAATGAGGATGCAGATTCCATATCGCTTTTCACTTTGAGGTGCACGCAGTCTGTGGTCTGGGTCGTGCTTCAGCCACAGCTGGCAGCCAGCAGGGGCGCGCCAACAACGCAGATGTCGGACACCCTACATTATCTTACGGCATCAACGATACGACTCCAACATTCAACTGGACCTCTCTGAAATTCGCTGAAGTCATGAAGGCCTTCACGCAGACGTCCACAACTTCTGAAGCTGGGCTCTCCTTGCCATCCTGCAGGCGTCAGCTGGACGCTGAAGCACTTGGAGTGACTCACGCTTCTAGGCAGATATGCTGACTGCTCTCGCAAGAGCTGGCGACCTCGTAGCCTTCTAAAATCACGGCTATCACCAGATTCATGACCTGCAGACAGCTGGATGAATTCAGAAGTACTGTTGGGTCGATGTCTCACCCAAACCGCCGGATGAAACAATAGAAACTAAGACTGCGACCATGAAGGTGATCAGCAAGGTGTAGGTCACCTGACCGGGTCTGGGTGTTGGGCCCGCCGTCTCTGAAACATGTTCGGCATGCAGCAATGCTAACCAAGTCCGCGCACCCAGAAGCAGAAGGAAAAGTAAGGGCTCTGCGCCTCGGAATTCGGGAAGCGCGTGGCGCTGCGCAGCTGCAGAGAGCGAAAGCGTGAGCGGCTGTAAGCGTGTGACACAACTATTCGGGTGCTCGATGAGGCACTTGTCTTTGAGCACCTGGAGAAAGCACTCACGAGGTTTCAACCTTCCTGCGTGAAGAACACATGTGAAGTCCTACTGCCTGCATCATCACGAGTCAGAATGCCCCCACCTCGAATTTGGCCTCTGTGTCGAAAAGCTCCACCGGAGAGCACCACTCACCCTGCTTGTACAGCTCCACCTTCGCTGCATGTGGCAGGATTCCGCAGAAATGCTCAAGTCTGGCGAACACTGGAGGCTGCAGCTTCTACGTTGAAACAAGGCATTGATACGGCAAGCGTGTCTACAACTCGAGGATGTCTCGTATGCTGGATGCACTGCTTCTTATGAGAAGCTCTGTCAGCGGCATGACATCCCTAAAGATTTCTTCGGCACATTCTCTCGCCGGATCATCATGCCAGCGCCCAACAGCATCTCAGCACTTTCGCTGGGCTGCTCACAGCATTAAACAAGCACGAGTACGCGAGGCGCTGTCGCTGTGGACTTCGCTCGTCTCACGCTGCGGTACATCCGGCGGGAACCGAAGCGCAGCATGCAGAGGAAGCTCCCAGCAGCGGCAGTGGTTGCGGAGGCCGGGGGTAGCGGTAGTAAACCCCACCTGGTTCAAGTTCGAGCAGCATCATCATAGCTGCAAATCCTACAAAAGCTGTGCTGCAGGTTTAAAGGGCAAGCGCTAGCGGGTACCGGCTTGCCTGGCTTGCCATCAACGTAAGGCCGGCCATAGCCCTGCAATGCTGCCTTGTCTGCCCCATCTAAATCCTTTGCAGACACACCCTCCAATTTCGCGCCGCTGCTCTTGTGCACCACCACACCACTTGAGATTCCGTACGAGAAATCTGCTGGGTCAAAGTTCGCCAACAGTGCCTTGGCTCGTCACCGACAGCTTTGACTGCTCGATTTCACGGCTTGTGGACTATCTTGAACCTCACTTCAATGATGGCGCGATGAACCTTCTCAGAGGGCCATGCGAGTTTGGAGCTGGGCGGCAGAAAGAACAGGCATGTGTACAGCTAAGTGATATTTGCTTGGCCCTGCCGTGCCTTGAGCCTTGCCGAGACCTCAAGCACGGAGCCCCTGAAACAGATTCCTTCTGTTCTGACCTAAAAGCGATCATGCAAAGGCGCATTGCTCTTCTCCAGGCGCTCCATGTCTTTCGCGTGCGCTTGGTCATAGTCCACCCCGAGTTTGGAGATTCGCGCTACCAGCTCCTGCCAGATGCAAAATCTGCTGCAGCATAGGCTCTTGCTTGCGCGAAATACAACACTGGTCAACAGCTGTGTCCTTTGGCGTCATTTTCGTGGCATCAAACGACTCACCAATCTCGACTAAGGCTTTCAAGGCTGCCAGGACATAGGCCAGTGGAAAGTGCCGCAGCTTTAGGAAGTGGCCACCCTTCCTGGCATGCTCAAAAACCAATACAAAGCTGACTGGATGTGCACCCAGAGTGTCTGCATGCGTTGCGGCCTGTACACTCCCAAGTGGGAAGGCAACAGAGGCAGCAGCATGTACTGCAAGTGCAGCTGATACCTCGGGCAGGCGCTCCAGTTCAGAGGCAGAAGGATGTCATGTCGCAAGCTGCCGCTGGAGACCCAGCTGCAAACTCCGAGACAACAACAGTGGCCACATGTGGCCACTTCAACCTGAGCCTTCTACCACGAAGCACAAACCTAAGAAACCGTTTTCTAGAGCTTTGAAGCAGTGTTGTAGTCATTGCATTGAAATATGCTGCGGCAGCTTTGGAAGGATAATGCCTGGGAAAGGTACTTTCACGATCTTCTCATTCCAGTCCGAGTGTAAACTCTGAACCTGCTTCTATCTCCTGAGCCACAAAGTATAAGAGTTTTTGGGCCAGGCTCTCACTTCAGCAAAAGGAAAGTGCTGAAGCCCCTGCCTCTGGCATCCCTAGTTCTGTGAGCGTTGGCGCGTATGGCAGAAAACGAGCAGCCCATGCATCTGCAACATCTCTTGATATGTTCACAGCAGAGGGGCATACAAGAGGCAAGTCCTGTCTAGCAAGAGATCGATAGAGATGCAAGACACACTGGACCAGTAAGCTTGACGTACCTGTACAAGAAAAAACGTGCGAAAATCAATGGATTCGAGGCCTTACATATGCTCTTCCAATCCGGTCCCGCATTTGTGATATGTAATGTAGGGTAGCTCGTGGGTGTAGCTTCTATCTTTCCTGTGTAATTCCTACCAATACTTTGCCACTAGAACCACGAGCACTGTGGGGAACTCCGGCGAAGATATTTATGACTGCGGAGATTCATAGCATCGAAGACGGAAGATGCAATCTTAGATATGTAGGATCTTCAGTATGTCGTTGTACTTCGTGAATTCGAATTTATCTGGATTGTTTTCATACAGACATAGTGGAAACCTAACACAACTTCAAATGGCAGAGATACCTCACAAGCGAAATGAAACAGATGCTGAAGTTGGTACCTAGTGACTGATGCACGAAAGATATGGACGGCATGCGAGATGCCCGGGTTGCTACATCCAGTATCCGGTACGTGACCATGCCATGATGCATCGCAAGTACCCATTGTGACATGCTCTCGTATGCAGCATCCACAGAGAGCTCTTTAGTCAAAGCTGCCGAGCTAAATGACCAACGAAGCAATGCGGGCGTAGCTTCACTGAAGATATCTGTCGGGGTTCCCCTTGTGGGTCCAATTGGAGGTGCGCGTAGCTTTGGAAACAGCGCTTTCTCATGCATTTTCGATAGATGTAGCCGGTCCGGGAAGGCTGTCTCAGTGGAAACCAACCGGTTCTATGAGACGGTAGCAGTGACGCTGCAGCGCGAAAACGCTCGGCCGTGCCGCGACGCCTCCCTGCTCCCACGCCAGATTTTGGTCCATTTAGTCGAGCCGTACCTCCGCTTGGGTCTGTCAAGTCGCCAGAATCCGTGACTGGCCGCCTCTGTCCATAGCCTTATCTGCACGTGGGCCACCGCCACCGCATTCTGGCGTCGATCCCAGGCCACAGCACGTACAGTTGTTCCCTGATGTTCCCTGTGCTTGCCCTTTCAGTCGTGTACATTGGGTTGGTCCCAGTTCGGCAGTGCTAGTTCTGTCATTTTCCGAGACCTGACACTCACAGCGTTGTTCAGGCAAGTCGGCTTGTTTCTTGAGGAAGCCTAAAGACATGTTTGAAGAAGCTCTCTTTCGCCGTGCGTGGTCACCGGTCAATGCATGCCATTTAGACTAGGTGTTTTCTCGGTATCCATTCGAACCCGATGCTGGATTGCCAGATTGCTCTTCAGAGCTGTTATACATACGCACACAGACACCAAAAGTGCACAGAGGCTCCAGCTTGCACAGAGTGGCAAGCTGTCAGGATGTTGGGCAGATGCGGCGGAGACCACGGTGCACACGGACACCACAGTACGACGACACCCGTACCGTTTTTGACACCATTCTACCTCGACATAAAAATCTAAGTGCAGGCAACTGTGCTGCGACGGCGGCAGGTTGAATGCCATCAGGACATGTTGACCTTGCAATCTTGGAGAGTCCACCGCCAGAATGTGAGAGCCATTTGCAAAGCTTGATTCTTCTGGTGCAATCTGAGTAGCGCAGCTCTGCTATGGGGAGCGCGTTGCCAGCTGGCGACAGGGCCTGGCAGAGACGCGAGGACGGGCACTGTCTAGTGCACATACATATGATATCATATGATCATATGTGAATGTTCATGTACGTTTTCGCGTACGTGTGTACGCATGTATGCATGTACACAGACACAGGCCCATGGCAACTGCTTGCATACGTATTTGACGTATATAGTTTGCAGACATACATACATAGATGCATACATACATACCTAAGTACGTATGGTACGTAGGTACGCACGTATGCGCATGCATGCACGCACCTACTTACCTGCGTGCATGCCTAAGGCCTACATGAAATGAACATACATGCACATGAATGCCAACGTATGTTACGCATTGTACGCATGTAGCCGCGTTTGATGCTTACAGTCCCTGCAGCGTTTCGCCTGACGCCGCCAAGCCTCAGAGGCCAGAGGACCTCGGCTCAGAATGCACCGCCCCTGTGAGACCCTGAGGCAGCTTGGGACTGGGACTCCAAGCCGAGAGGCCCTGTTCCAGAGCCGTCCACGCGGCCTGCTCCATCTTGTTGAGCAGCACCAAAGCGTTTGGAGGGTCAGAGAACAGCGAACGGATGTCGGGACAGTACACCTGGCAGGAGCTTATGAGACGACCAGTGCATGAAATGCTTTCTGAACCCCTCAGCCTGCGTAGGTACCGACAGGACATGTGCCCGAGTGATTGCAAGCGGATCGTCGAATACCATGATGTCCTCTGTCTCATGCCTCATCGAGATCTTGAGAGGAAAGTTGGCCTTGTCCACACCAAAGATGAAACCGACGAAAAGGTTCGCACTCTTGCTGATCGCGATGTCCGCTAAGGACGCACCACATGAGTTGCAAATGTCCATGGTGACTGCACATGGCTTTCCGCAGTTGGCACATTTCTTGATTTCGTTGTATGCTTGCGACTCTAAGTGCGGATTTTCCGCGAGGAAGGCATCAAAGCCTCCCTTAACCTTAGGTTCTGGCGATCCCAGACTCGGGATATCCACGGAGACGAAGCGAGATGCATCGGCGCCAGCCAGCAGTGTGCCGTCCTGCGCGCAGCCTTCGGCACTCCAGTTTAGCTCCATCCTCAATAAATCACATACTTTGCTCGAGCTCCAACGGCTTGCGATCAACTGCAAGCTGGCAAACTGCGTTGAATTGAAACTGCGGTGACTCCGGGATACTACTTCGACAGCCAGATTTACATGGCATGACGGCCTCCGTCATCGCCAGCTCGTGCATAATCTCATTCCAGGCCTGCAGAAGCTTAATCGCAACGGAAAGCTGATCCTCGCAGCAAAAGTGGTTCCGAGAAAAGCCCCGAGCCACAACATTGAGACTACTCTGCAGACAACTCTGTGCATGCATGATCACGCAGAGGCAGCCAAAAGTAGACCTCTGCTCAAGCTTTCTACTCAAGTGAACCGACCGCCTCCCCTGTGGAGGCTCGGAACAGCGTGATGAATGCCAGAATGAAGTTCTGGAAGTTCCTGCCATGCCAGCTGCCAGGACAAAGGCTCCAATTCCCAGGGCGGAACATCACTCAATGGAACCAGCTCGAATTTCTGAACAGTCGTTGTGAACATTCCAAGAACAAGCCGGGACTTCGCATGAACATTCAAAGTCTCTCCGAGCTTGGTCGTCGAGAAAAGGCTGACGCCCAGAATGCCTCAAGCATAACAGGAAAGATCGACTTCAGTTTGATGTGGCATCAACGAAGCTTGATGCCCTCGAATTACATCAAGATCGTCAAGCAAGGGTTCAGCAGCGGACTGTAAAGGATGAGCAAGAGCAACAGAATGAGCAGGACGTTCATGAGCCTGGTCAGCATGTCAAGCTTCGTCTCTGCCTATACACGCAGAAACAAACAAGCACCTCCTAATTACGCTGCCGGCCGGGCATGGCGCACTCGGACAGGTGTGACTAGGAGTGTCCACACAAGCCGAGGTGCTTTGGTAATGACATCAACAATGCCATGAAGATCTTGTTCCTGGCACACAGGCCGGCACACGACTCTAGAAGTGACTCGGTACCCTCTCTCTGAACCCAGCAAGAGGTGCAAGCCCTTCAAGAATCGTAGTAGCCGGAACAATCTCGCCTCAGGCAAGAAACACGCAAAATCAAGAAAAGAGCAGAAGCTTCAGATCCAGCAGTCTCAGGGCACCCAACAATGCGAAAGATGCGGATAACTTGGATGATGGGGTCGATCCTGACCTGAGCAAGCTCAAGAAGAGCCTGTAATCGTTTGGATCTTCCTGATCTTGCAGTCACAAAGCACTCCTTTTTCTGTCGTGCTTGCAGAAACCCGATTCCAGGTTCGTTGGTTCGTTGGTTCCGAAAAATTCTCTACGCCCGCGGCGCGAGACACATCTCCGAGTATCCGGATTGGCGCAAACTCGCAATCGAAAAGCGCGAAGCTCACTTGGAAAAGGCCACAACCACGATGATCAACACAGCCACGATGGCCATCGCAATGGCAGTGTGCTCCTTCATGTATGCGAAGGCCTCCTCAGCATAGGGTGTCACCAGCATTCCGAAGCACAGGGCCACTCCCATGATGGTGGATCCGATACCCGTGGAGCGTGCGTAGTTGATCGGCTTGAAGTAGATGTTGAAGGGGAGCTTCTTGTCAGGAGGCTGCAGGGTGTATCCACGCCACTCGTTGCAAGGAGATGAGATGATGCAGGAGGCCCAGATCGTGAGCCCGAAGACCATGGCCTTGTGCGTGAAGGTGGTTGGGGCGAGCGCATCCTGGATGCGAGGGCCGGCCAGTCCACGGGCCCAGCCGTAGATGATGTCGCGGGCCACCGTGGGAATGTAAGCCTCACAGAAGAGCGGATCTTTGGTCTATGCATCCTATGCCTCCTATGCCTCCTATGCCTCTATGCTCAAGATCAGTTAGTCTCCCATGTGGCCTGGTAGAGGAGGGAGGCCTTGATCTCCCAGCCCATGGACTTGCGGAAGCGGTAGTTGGTCACGGGGAGCATGATCGTGCAGAAGAGCCAGCCGCTGATGAGACCGCTCACACCGGGGGAGAGGCTAGTGTACATCATGGCCCTGTTGATGACCTTGCGAGGGAAACTCATACTGTCACAGAGTCATGCGGTCTGACACTGCCTCTAGATTCCAAAAGTTGAGGGAGAGTTGCCTCAAAGACTGGAAACTTCAGCATGTTCGTCGGGAAGGTCGTGAGGAAGAAGTTGGCAACGAGGCTGAAGGTAACTTCAGAATAGGCCTGGGCCACGGTCATGCGCTTCACCAGCAGCCTGAGGCAGGGATTCGGTAAAGTCTGTTCACTACGTGGCAGACGGCAGGTGCAGGGTCCCGGCCTGTTCACCAGGGGCTCGCACATGGCGGACAGGATCGCGGCCACGAGCGCGGCGGTACAGCCCTGGGCTGCTGCGGCGAAGACCTTGGTCATGAAGCCGCCCTCATCTGCAGGCGCCTCAGATATATGCACACGGACGGCGTGTACTCCACTACAACACTAACAGCATTCACATGCAATCACACTCGTTTCTCTCGTCGGGCCTCGTCGGCCACGGCCAGAGCCAGGTCGCGAGGGAGCTTGCCAGTGGAAGGAGTCCACAAGTCCACCAGGCAAGATGCTGCTGCAAAGAGGATCAGGGGGCCAAGTCCGTTGGAACGCCGGGCGGTCATGATGGCAGACTAAGTCTTTCCGGCGCGAGTCTTGTCACTATTTTCCCACTCTTTTGGGAACACTGAAAGCCAAATATCACGACAAGTTCCAAAGTGCTCAAAGATCTCTGAGACGGATGACCTTTGCCTCTGCTCTGTTCCGCGGACAAGTGAGCCGTCTACATTGGAGGCTCTGCTGACGACAATGCCCACAATCGTGGCAACCTGAACGTAGTAAGGTTTAGGGCGAAACCTGAGGAAGTCTTACACAAGCAAATTACGAAACCAAGTCCGTCGCAACGCATGTGAAGTCGAAGCAGTTCCATCGGTCTCCTGAGCATCCAAACTTGCATGCCCCCTTTGCACGAATCGTCTTTGCTCTGAGTGCAGAACCCCAGTAGTTGGTTCGCAAAGCGAATATCTTGAGCACGCACTCAACAGTGAAGATCCCGGCAAAGATCTCAGCACAACAGTTTGCATAGCCCTGCGGCGAAGACTGCACCAGTATGCAAATGCCACATATGCTTGACATGCCATCGGCAACCATCTTGGCGCATGCTGTGATCCAGACATAGTTCACTGTCTCCAGAAATGTCTCCCACTCCGGAAACGGGGTGGGAGTGATCTTGGCTGCCTGCACAGACACGAAAGACACGTGCACCGCAGATGCGAGCCCTGACTCCACAGAACAGACTACTGTACCGACGTCTGAAGCACCACACATACAAAGGATGCGCTGATGTAATCCTCGAGTCCAAAATGCTGCTCGGCCTACGGAACAGCAAGCAAAACAGCACCAACACTATAGTTTGCAAGCCTCAACCACCAACTGCCCATCTTTGAAGCAACACATCGGCATGGAAAAAAACGAAGCTCGACCAGACCCCAAGCCCTTTCCCCTACCTGCTCCGGTCGATGTCTAGAAAGAAGTGCCAGCTCTTGGTTTGCAGTTCATGTCCTGTTAACCTACCCGTTCTTAGGCCTCCGTGGGTGACAGATCCCTAGGGCCTATTCCGGTCTTCAGGATTACCAGGGATAAACAAGGCGAGACACCAGGAACAGTGTGTTGATCACGATTGCACCCATGATGCTGGTCTCGAAGAATTCGCTGGATACCTGGATTTGTCGGCGAGCGCACATGCAGAAGCCGCATGTCAATCCGAAAGCGCTGCCGCACGTCGGGCCATTCGGAAGCAAGCATTAGTTTGTCTCGAACACCGAGCAGAAGTTCATGCATGTGTAAGCTGATCAGAGGGGAGATTTCATTCAACTTGACGGTGGAATCCGTGCTTGTGAAATTCTTTGCACTGCAGCGCAGCCTGGGAGCTGCAAGTACACGCACACACATCCAAGAAGTCCCTGTGCCCGATCTTGTGATCGCAAACTAGCCGGCCGAGCCAGCTCGTAGCATTTCCGTCTCAACCAGGGCTTTTCGTGAAGGTCCCTGCCATCAGAATGCACATTGCTACCAGAGCGATGAGCAGACTCAGCACCTATGGTGGTGCTGCAGAACAGCAGCACGAAGAACACCGCGGTTTCTGGAAAGTGCTTCAACTGCAGACGACAACTGGTGCCAGAGCGGCATGAGGTTGACAATCTGTCGCCTGCACATGCTGTGCACACCCACGCACTGCAACTGCTTGGAGTGACTCTCTCGAGAGCAACTGACGCAAAAGCGGTCGTCACCCACCCCCCTACACAACCCGCACGAAGCGAAGCGCACCCTGCTAAACAACCCTGTGCGGAATCTCGATGACTGGCGGCCGTCACAATCAGAGAACAAGACTGTAATGTGCCAGTAGAAGGCCCCACTCAAACGCGACCTCCCAAAATTGGCACTATGCTGGTCCAATCGCAGCCTGCCTTGAGTACAGGCTCATGATGGAGTTCACCCAATTCTTCTGCGGTTCTGTCAGCATCACCTGCGCACGCCACTACCTAAAGGCACTACCCAAAGGCTTCCAGACCCTTCCCACACTTCAATGCACAAATCATCTGAGATTCTTCAGACAGACAGCAAAGGCGAAGCCAGCAGCTGTCAGCTGCAAATTCGATTTCAACCTTCTGATGGGGGGGGGGGGGCGCACCGCAGTGTTGGATTGCTTCATAGACATGAACTTATCGACAATGACGCCCACGCTCAAATTGATGATGAACCTTAAGGAACAAGGACTCAACCAGGCCTGGGAATCGATTCAAAGACATTCACACTCTTGCGATGGCGGTCCCTGAGGAGATGACATATTGCTGAAGAAAAGGTACAGCATAAAGAACGGAACCCACAGCCTGGAGGAGATCTTCAAGAAATCAAAGTCTCAGCTTCTATCAGGTCCTGGGCGCCCCACGTCTCTTGGTTGTCTCTCTTGGGCTGCACCTGCTTAGACGCGTTCTCGCAACGCAGAGTCTCTCGTCTATGCCATATTCGCTGCTGCCAAGCAGCGTAAGGCTGCACAGAATCTGCAGCAGAGTACATCACATCCACCCAGCCCTCCGTGGTCGAAATCTCAAAGAGGGTGAGCCTCACTCGCGTTCACAATCTACCGTCGGGAGAATATCTCTTGCACAAATGCCATTTGAGCAAGGCTAAGCCTCTGGCATTGCAAACCAAATGTTGTTGAAGTTTTGGCTGATAGTTGGCACCCACCTGATGCACATGATCCCACTTTGTTGGAAGTCCTTCGAGCATGTACAATTTCAGCTGATGGGGGGGGAATGTGGGCACAAGTTTGAGAACAGAACAGAAGTCGTAGATGCTCTTGTTGCAGGCTGCGGGCTTGCTGACAAAGTGCCTCTTTGGCATCTTATCCACCAGGACATGCCTAGAATTGGGGTGATGGAGCATCACTTTTCACTTTGTCTTCGCCTGCACATGCACTCCCGGTACCGCGGCTAAACGGACGGCTTGCCTCGAGCCCTGCTCCAGACAGAGCGCAGCATCTCGGATCAGGCCCTCGCAGAACTCTGGGCACCTGACGTCCAAAGGGTCAAACCTCGCCCCAAAACCCTGCATCGCCGGCCCACGCCAGGCCTGCACTGCGCCTCGCACTCGTACTTGCAGGACTCACATTGGGCACCTGGTGCATGGCTCCCGGTCACTCCGGTCTGCACACCGTCAAACATTGAGGCCGTCACTTCCTTCTAATCCCGGCCCGCATGCATCCACGCAGAAGTACGGAGCCTGGAACTTGCGGCATCAGAGAACGTGCTGCACTGCCATACACACACAGACTTAATGCTCTGCAAACCAAGGCATGGTGCAAGGACTGCAAGGTCCAGAGACTTGCCTGGCTGCAAGTCGCACGGCACTGGGTCTTCACCTCTTCGTCGACCTCAGGCCGGGAAGCAAACCGGAAGGTCAGGCTTCGCACGTCGGCAGTAGTGTAGCAAGTTTGCAAAGGCGAAGTGCAACTTGTTGTGGTTGCAGATGTAGGTAGAGTCCGTGCTTTCCACAGCTCTACCATATCGGCCTCGCCGCAGAAAAGGTCAGCACAGCTCATCCCGTGTGCCGTAAGTACCTGGAATGCATCTTGCTCGTGACAGTGGCGGAGGAGTGGAGGAAGGCTTCTGGCGGCGCACCATGTGGCCAGTGGAGTTCACAGTACTCCCACCGCAGGGAAGAACCAGGGATCGAGCTGGGCAGAAGCGGTGGAAGGGAAAGGTTTGCGTCATGAAACCCAAAGGACCAGCTCTAAAGCGAGCATCACTCCGTTGCAAAACTCTGGGTGCAGGGCTCATCTGGTCCACATACGCAATCCCTGGAACAGTCTTGGCCATGCTCTGCAGTGCTCTGCAGTGCTCTGCAGACGTAGGGTTGTGCCAAGCCAGCCTCGTTGTTCAGCAGCGGAAATGTTCCTCTCACAAGGTCTGGACTCTGTCACAGATGGCGCACTACGTGATATAAGTGATGTACTGCAAGGACACAAGACATGGTGACCGTGTCTCTCGTCCTTGTGACTTCAGGTCCGCAGGCTGCTGGAAGTTCTTCCGTCATGGTCAGGGCCTCCGCAAGCGCTGTTGCACAGCACATGACAAATCAGCTTCTTCAGAATTACGGCCTTTGGGCAGAGCCATTCCGGTTGCGTAAACCTCAGGCAGCGGACTCAGCATCACTCCAACGACCTCTGCAAACCTTCGTCTCAGACACGGGCGTGGAGTAGCCTTCAGGGAGACAGCGCCCAATACAAATAGGCCTCGAAAGGAATGCATGAGATGCGGGGCAGGAACAGTCCCACAGTGAATCGCTCTGTGCCCAGGGCGTGTCTGCTGTAATCCGCTGATATTCCTCATTCTGAGCTTCTGCCAAGAAGTTTTACTAGCTGGAGACAGGAAAGCGGCAACAAAGGAGTGGGCACGCTGGCCCACAAGGCCCGGGCCACGTAATGCGAACCTGGACAGGCTGTGGTGTTGCCAGCCTGAAGGAAGTAAAGGCACTACAAATGGAAGATACAGCCAATCTTCAGATAATACAGCATTTGCTTCGAGGAGTTGAGGAGACTGCCCAGCTCGTTGTGCTTGGCTGGAACTGGCCATGGGTCAGGCCACCGGAGACCTTCGCGCTGAGGCAGCACACGTCTGCTAGTACAGACAGCATAACACTGTCTCAGACATGCATCAATACGCCACCTTGCTAGTTGGGGCTCCGGCGGTTACTTGATCTATTGCGGGTGGAAAGCACAACGGTGTTGTAAAGTCCTGCACAAAGCTCAACAGACTTCTGCTTCTCGTGACGGATGGAGGCAAAAAGATCGTAAGCGTGTGTTACATATTTTGGCCATCCTTGCAACTAGTTTGTTCTCCTACCAAGACTTCAGAATTGAAAGCCGAGAGTGCCAACATGTCTGTTCCAGCTGCATATAACGTCAACTACTCTGTCTTTCTCTTGAAAAGGTCCAACCGCGTTTTAGCAGGATGATGATCTCCTGCTCTCAGAACATCCTTTCAGGCCTCTGAAGCAGAGGGCCCAGTTCCACTGCCCCTGTTGACTAGAGTATCCTCCATGGGGCACCAGCCTGATGTGGTGAAGCGACTGTCTGGTCACCGTCTGCTGAGGCCCAGTGCTGTGGTTGAGACCCAGTGACACGAATCCGATTTCGGTCCTGACCGAGCTGTTTCGCAAGGCCCGGCTCGGTCGCCAGATCGCACATCAAAAATGTGCCTCCGCCCGTTGATAAGTCAAAAACATCACCATGTTGCGTCTGAGCTCTTGACCATTAAGGTAAGACAGCCCGAACAAAGCGAAAATCAGAAGGAAGAGCCTCGGCCACATGCGGATCGCAGAGAGCGCCATCTTGGGCAATGTTCAGAATTCTCGGGATCCGACATTGCCACAATGACCAAGGTCAGCAGATGAGGCCTGACGTACCACCCGAAGAGTTGTTGTCTGATCTACACCTTCTATAGCCAAGTGAACCTGCAGGAAAGAAGACTTTCTGGTATAGTGTGACCCAGCACACGACAATGTCTGAAAAATGTTGCTAGCACCATCGGCAAACTTAGAGAAGTAGACCTGTTCAGCTGTCTCGCTGCCCCGATGCATGATGGAAAAGCGCCCGGCATGGAAGCGAAGATTGTCTGTACCTCTGCCACGGACTACACGAACGCAATCCGCAAAACCTCCATTAACATGTTGATACCCAGCGTCAACTGCCATGTAAAATCCTCTCCCCGAGAGTTAGAAGGCACTAGATATCCTACCCCGATCATTCGGAGGATTGCGATGCATCGCAATGACGCACCAAGCATGCCAAGGCGTATAATTATGCATCTTGCAACAAGTCGGCAACAGTGAAGTTGCGAGCAGCTTGCCACCACTCCCGAGGCTGTAGCATTGTAGTAGCCGTTTCGGTAAGGCCCGTGCCACGACTTTCAGGTTCTCGTTGCGGGAGATGACGCGCAGCGGCCGGAAAGCACCTCAGAAGCGCCGGACGCCGCTTAGCCGCTTGGCACACTCGCGGAGGGAAGCCGCGGCCGTGTCTCCTCTCCGTGGCTCTGGCGCAGGATGCGGAGCGTCTTCAGGAAGCCCGTGGAGCTGGAGCTGGCCTAGGCAGCGAGGCGCGAGCGCGAGGGGCCGCTTTGAGGCCCGCTGTTGGGGGCCCCGGCCATGTTAATGATGGAGACCATGACCACTACACCATCGAGCCAGTTCCAGGAGCTCTTCAAGTAGGCATCCTCGCCTCGAAGCACAGAGCTATCATATTAGCGTGGCCACCGCCCTGTATCCGGGATGCCCACCCCAGATCAGGCCCAAAGCAAGAAGCTTGATGACCATCTCTCCAATGAAGATGATGGCAAACACCTCGGGGCCAGGGCGCCACGCTCCTCTTCACCTGGCGATCCGCCATCCGAAGAGCCCCACCTCGTCTGCACCGCGCAAGAAGATCGTCAAAGGCTCTTTTGGGTCCGCCAAGGGAGAGTCCATGGCCATGGTAACCTCGCGGCCAGGTACGGCTGACACCCCGTCAAGCCGTGAGGCAGCCCCAGAAAACTCAGGAGCATACCGTGGACACCAGGATGCATAGCAGAATGAAGTTATCAAAGACCTCGATCAACCGGGCACATCGGACACATCGGGCAGATCACAGTCAAGCTGTTCCAACCACTTTGTCGGCATTCGGGATCACAGCCCGGCCACACGGCGGGTAAGCATTGGGATACTGAAGATTTCAACGGCGCTTGCGGCGGGTGGGACAGGTGGCAGTCTGTGCTTCGGAGATTCCGCTGCCGCCCCGGTGTCCACTGTCTTCCTTCCTTCCTTCCGTTAAGTTCGGCCTTAGCCACACTAGCCCGCGCCTAGGCGCCCCCCCTCCCTGCTACGGTTGGGAAGAGGCTTTGGGGCTTCGAGGACGGTTTTCCTCCCCACAGTCAGTACGAGCAGGAGTGTGAGGTTGCTGCAGAGCCCCCCCAGCACCTGTCCTCTCTCTCTTTCTTTCGCCAGGGCTGTGGCGCAAGGGGAAATCCCCCTCTCTCTCTCTCTCTCTCTCTCTTTCTTTCTGCCGGGCTTAGGGGTCGTCTAGCGACCCTCAGGGCATGGGCCCACCCGACCACCGAATGTATTATGGAGAGGCCTTGTTCCCTCTCTCTCTTTGCTTTGCTTGGGGTATGAGGAGTGGGCAGTCCCCTGGGTGTAGGGGTCGCGGTGCGACCCTCAGGCCATCGGCCCAACCCCCCCCCAAAGTATTATTGAGTGGGCTGGCATTGGGTTCCAGATGATTTCGGCAAAGAACTATCTCTCTCTCTCTCTCTCTCTTTGGCGATCCCGTGTCTGCCGGACCATTCTGTTCATATGTCGGTCATTTCCCGATTTCCGTCTCCCTCTTTGATTTCGGTGAGTCGCTCGGCTTTCGTTGTTACTGCCCCCTCCCTCCTCTTGCCCTCTGTCCTTCCTGTACTGAGTACTGTGGCGGAACTGAGCCACAGGCCAATCGAATTTTGGGTGTTTTAACCCACAGGATCTTGCAGCCTCCGACCTCGACCTGCCGAGCACTGGCCGCACCGGACAGACCTGACAACTCGGAGAGGCCCCGATCCCAAGCCTGGGCGTGCAAGATCCAATGGCAGAGCTTCCTAACGGGGTTGGTCTTGGAGAAGATGAACCTGAAGAGTGCAGCCGACTCGCTTCCTGGCCCGAACATCAGAACAGCTGGGCATCCGACCATGCGTAGCCCACTGGCCAGGTGTCCCTGCATTCACGCAGCATCACGCAGCATCACGCAGCATCATGCAGCAGCGCAGCAGAGAAACTTCTCTGTTGGCTTCGGGCGCCCTCTCGGCCTCTCGGTGAGGGACCGCTTGAAGCTGGAGAGGCTCTCCGCCATGCTCTTGGCGGAGTGCAACACGCGGCTGCTCGCCGGCTTCGGACCTGCACAGAGCGCCTTCGCTGAAAGTTGCACTGGCACTCACTGGCACCTGCATGCCGCTCTGTGACTCTGTGCTGCCGAAATTCGCAGCTTTCGAAGACACTGCAGAAACCCTGTGCTAAGACGCCAGCTCTCTGGAAATTCAATGGAACACCTCATCTAGCTGTCTGGCTGCTGCAGAATCGAAGCCAGTCCAGGCCCCAAGGAATTCTTATGCTGAGAACAAATCCAGGAAAAGTCTTGCAAAGGATGTTGCAGGAAGGCTGCACCACAACTAAGCTCCGTGCGATTCCAGCGACTTTTTTCTGAGTCGCTGCGCCTGCCACAACGAAACCTCCCTCAATATTTGACGACAGCTTCGAAAGATTACTGGCTTCGGATTGACTTGCGGCGACTTTGCAGGACAACGGGCGATACGAGTAACAGGCGATTACGTCCCATGCACGCTCCAGCATTGCTGGGGGCTTGACCGTGTGTTCTCTTCGCAAGTCCTCTTGCTGGTTCAAGCTGTCCTGAAGAACTCGTGAGCTGAAGCATAGGGCGATGAAACAAACATACCTCTTCTGTCTGCACACGCAACATGTCCTGTACGTGGTCGAACTTGGACATCAGCATGGACAGGAACAAGCCTGAGAGGGACTCGCTGCAAACCCCCTTTGTGGTGGGAAGGAAAGTCGGAAAGATCAAGCAGGCCAAGAGGCTGAGGAAAAGCGTCTGACCAAAAAGGATAAGCAGCACCTTTCATCATGACCCGACGCGTCCCGTCACAGAGGTCAGCCAAACGCCGACACACCACAATACACAACTCCGGAGTTCAATCATCTGCCGGGGCACGAATAGGAGGCAAAAACCAGGACCTCACAGCTGCCAAAAGGGTCATCAGTCGAGCATCGTGCATAAAGAGCAGCCAGCTCTAGACTCTAGAATCGAAGCAACTCTTGCCTGCAGCTCGCATCCCTGCGTACATCACGGTGTTCCAGTTCTCACCTGGGGCTTGGAAAAACAGTGCCCGGGAAGCCGTAAGAAAAGAAAACCGTGCCTGTCATGATCTGGAAGATGGTAACCTCATCAGGGCAGCCCTTGCACGCCTACCATCCTCGAACATCGAACGTCTTCAGGCCACGCAGAAGGGGACACGCTCCGGAGACTGCTTTGCCGGGAGCGTAGCTTGCGGTGTTTGAAATTGCCCTGTTGCTTGTTGTTGTTAGATCGGACGAAAGAAGACTCCGCCTTTTTTCAATGGGTCATACTGGCCGCTCTTCGGGGATGGGGTAAACTCAGCTCGGCCGTCCAGGATGACGTGTAAAGGCATCGCCCACGTGACGGCTCGACTTTGATTCCGCCTCGCTGCTTTACTTTTGAATCTTTGCAGTTCCTGGCTCCCTTTGGCCCGTCAAAAGCTCAAGCAGTTTGATGAGTTTAATGATATCAGATCACCTGCTTCGGTCCAATTCCTGAAAGTCCAAGACACCAGAGCCCAAAGGAAGGTGTCGAAGTTGGCACGCGGGATGCAGTCCTGGTACGGAGTCCAGGTGTGACTTTTCACGCAAATCGACCGAATGCTGACGTCTTCCAGCCTGACGATAAGCTGCCTCTTTCTCATTCTCCGTCCCAGGACACCAAAACTCACCAGGGTTGGTCACCTGCCGTTGGGCAGCAAAGAGCATCAGGAACTAGTCGGATAGCAGGACACACATGCTGTAACTCGGCTTTCCAGGGATGCTGCATAATCGAAACTGTCAGGGTCGTTGAAGTGAAACTCCTCGCACAAGGGAGATGATGTGTCCCTGCACAGCGTTACACAGGCGTAGACCCCGGACAGTCAAAGACCTAGCAGACTTTCGAAGCAGCATGCATTCCAGCACACAATCTGCGCGGGACATGGAGGGAGCACGGGGAGGATGCACCTCAAAATACGCACGGCGGTGGCGGGAGCTCGCTTATCAACTTTGGAAATTTCCTACGGAACCGTCAGTGCACGAATTCGAGACCGCGTCAAAGGAGCCGCCAAAATGAGGGTGACGGGACTGTGGCCTCCTTTCCATCTGCGACTCAAGTTAGGGGGTGCCTGAAGTATGATGAAACATTTGCCCAACATTTTTATTGGCGTGCCACAGCTGGAGTCGCCGGTTGTGCGCCAACCGAGCGCACCAGGTGTGAAAGGTGTGAATAGCGATCAAATCCAGTCGCTCTGAACGTGAGAACCGAGAACCTTGTGTTACCACAGGGAAAGGGAACTTACATACCCAACCGCTGCGAATTGAACCCTGTGCGGACTGTAGCGATGTATTCGATATGTTCCGGAACCAGCTTTGATCAACTTCGCGCTTGATCTGTTTTTGCCTCAAGTCCCAAAGCATCAGTACATGAAGCAGCCAATGTACAAAACAGCTCTTGCAAGAGAGCAAAGCACAAAGCCCGGCAGTCCGTTGCAAAGAATGTTTGCACCATAAGCGTGCAAATGTACAGGACCAGCCTCGGCGCTTAGCGAAAAGCGAGAAGTCGGTACTCTGCAATTGCTTAGCGGCTTGCTCGTCACACTCTATTCTGAGCCCGTCAAGTTGCTCTAGATGTCGATAGAATAGTCTGATGAGACGGGGCTTCACCTGGAGAAGCTGTCTTGATTCTGTTTCTTGCTCACAGACCCGGCTCTGCAATGCTCCTTTGAGTGGTTGCAGATTCGCCTGCGGTTTTCTGTAGTCTGTAGTCCCTACGACTTGCTGGGCGCCGGTGTAGTTTTCCGTTGTGGATTGAATTGTTCAATTGTAGCGGCCAAACGTTTAAATGGGGCTGTGCAACTTGCCAGAATTTGACAGAAACTCTTCCCCCATAACAATTGTCGTTACGAGCACATGAGGTTTTGAAGTACTCAGCTTGCTTGCAATCAACAACTCGCAGCCGATTCGATGCTTTCAAAAGGGCCCTGCCCCCATGTCTTGTTAGATGCTTTCTTTCGAACGCCGCTCGAGCGCCTGTGCTGGTGATGTCAGGGCTTGGCAGAAGAGCTACATGCAAATCTGCACAGTGTGCAGGGTTGGCCGGCACCCGACCGCTACACTACGCGTTTGCCGCACTTGCCATGATTGCCAACTCGCCGTGGCGATGGCGAAAACGACATTCGCTGATGTGTGTACTTTCAGTACTTTGCAACTTGCCAAGGCCGGGGCGCAAAGAGGATGAGCCAGTAATTCAGTGAAATGGCTGTCAACACCATTGCCTTCACGGACGCCGCTTGTGAGGCAACTCCAACTTGAAACAATCAAACTGCTGAGCGTGCTGGGCTTCAAGCCTTCAGGAGCACCTTGAAAGACGGCCAACGGTTGGCCAGTTTGTTCAGGACCTTCGAGATAGGCACTCGCGTCACATGCGGCACGTGAACCCCCACCCTCTGCGCTCCGGACCCTGAAGAGGCGCAGCGTCCGCAGCGCTGTAAACGGGCCAGCTTGCCCAACACACATCTGGCAAAGGAGCAGTCTTCTTAAAAGAAGTCCCTGCCGAAAGCATCAACGGCATGGCTTTCTTGGAACCCGCACAAGCTCTTCATCGCAAGGAGCAGCACTGAATTCTTCCACGCAGTTCCCTCACACACACGGAAAAATGCAGCCTGCCTGGACGACAGAAGTGATCACGATGACACCATCGAAAGCCGTCACTGGATTCGAGAAGTACCTGGCTTAGGCAGATGCGCATTCTGCCATGCAAGCCGATCCTGCTGCAAATGCAACCACAGGGGCGGCTTGCCTTCCGCGACTAGGTTTGGATCCGTTGGTTTTACTTGCAACTCCTACGATTTCCCAGTGTCGCAACTTTTCCTGCATGTGTGCTACGGCAGAACAGCCCCCCTAATCCTTGCTCTCCACTTCAGCGGTTGCTCTACGATATTTGGCAATATACAATTACGTGACTACCAGTAGTAAATAGCAAAATGTGCATGATTGCCACAACCTTACCTCGACAATACAGCAAAACAGGTTCGATGAGGAAAGAGCACCGGTTTTTAATACTCGCACATACTCCAGACGACCATTGATACATATTCGGTACTCTCTTACTGACGAAGTACAGGTGACTGTTGCAGGTCAGAAAGGTCTTTCATGGGTTGCTGCCATCATGCGCCGATATAGATGCTCATTGGAAGGACTCTCACGTCTGACATCCTGCCATGTAGTTAACTTCTCGTAAATGCAGAAACAAGCTTGTGAGGCTTTACCCTTCTGCTGCTTCAGACACAACAAGTCTGAGCGCCGCGCTTGTGCGGGCCTGAAAGACATGACAAACTGAACGGCGGTGGTACTTCACAGCGTGGAGCAGACAGCAACACAGGCCTAGCGCAGTCAGCAAGACGGCCATCTCCACACAGAAGACCACCAGAAAGGTAAGTTCCAGTGAACCCACTATGTCCTCGTCTCGTCTGCAACAACTGCTCTGCTGATATGTAAAGACGAAGCGAACTACAAGTAGCGGCTTGTTTCCACATTTCTTCGATGCAGCCATCAGAGTCGCCACAACTCTCAAAACCGACACCACAGTCAGAGCAACATCATCGTCGTGACCATCATAGTCTCCGCCGGTCCTCCTCCTCCTCGTGAGCAACACCAGCATCAAGACAACCATCAGTCAAAGGGCGGGGTGTCGGACCCTTGGGTCGGACCCTCAAAACCTAAAATTTATATAGCCGTTATATAATAGGTATATAATGGGTATACCGTACGAGTAGGCATATGGGTCGGAGACGGGATCTATGGTCGGAGCTTTGTTCATGTCAATGTCTTCGTGACTGGCAGCACCGTTTATATCCACAGGCCATGCACTCATTTTTTTTCACTTCCTCGGACGCTTCGCTTTCGGCTCCTCAGGAGCTGAAGGATTCCAGGCAGGAGCCGACTTGCCAGACTGATCATGTACAAGTGTCGCCTGGCTACGACCTCTGCCACCGCGCCCCTTTGCAGGCGTCTTAGCAGCAGCCTTCTTAGTTGCTGGGGTGGCTTTAGCCTTCTGCTTCGCTGTGCCCTTGGACTTGGGCCGATGTGTCGTTTTGGCCATGGCCTTCGGAATGTCGAAAGCCGGGTCCTTGCTGGATCTGGCACCCCCACTGCCCAGTGCACCATCCGTTTCTGCGTCCTTCTTGGGGGGCTTCTTTTGCTGATTCAGCAACAAAAGCGCCTCATTCTCAACATCACGACCAACAGCCGTGCCACGGCAAGCCCATCAACAACAACGACAACTAACACCATTAGCAGCAGTGGTAACAACGGCAACACCACCCTCACCGAGAGCATCAGAAGCAGCTGCATCATGCCATCATGCATGCACTGACCTACTGGAGGTGGTTGTTTAGTTCTCAACGAGGCATCACCTCTCATTGCAAGAGAACTGTATCCAGTGTCCAGTCAAGCACTGGACCAGATCGCCATGTCCTGCTGGGGAGCCCCGGGTGGCGGGAAGCTCTCCATCATCATCGTGATGACCTCGCATGGAAGGCAGCACCGACACGGCAGCAGGACCACAACTTGACAACTCGTCTGAGGACCCTGCATTGCTGACAATAAAGAGCATGATAATGTTCATAAACCACTCGCTGAAGGCGATGGCTCTGCAGGTATGCCTCGCTTCTACAGACTGCACCACATTTTCTTTCACTCAGCCATCTGCTCAGGTTCGGGCACGAGACTGCAATCCAGCCAAGGCGGCTGCTCGTCCGGATCCTCTCGGTACACCAAGCCAACTCAAGCGCAGTGCCATGCTGCGAATTTGACCAGAGACCCACTTCGCCCCCGTGCCAACCTCGTCGTCCTCGCCTAGAAGAGACTTTCGAAGGGTTTCTGCACAGGGCGTGCAGAGACCGACAGTGGCAGCCAACAGAGAAATTTGCATCTCAACAGTCCTTCGCTAAATTCCCACAAGCCTAGCGCACTGGGCTTTTACCATCGTCGATGCCTCCGTCCTTTTCATTGCTCTCTTCTTCTTCCGATGCCTGTACCAGCACAGACGCCGATACCGGTGATGAGCGGGACCGCTGGACTAGCAGCTAGACCATCGGACAGAGAACGCCTAGCAAAGATAACAGCTGCAGCCTCTGGAGAGAACACCGTTGGAATGAGTATGGAGCCTGAAACCCTTGAGAAACCATCATTGCCTGCAATTTGCAAGTAGCACGGGGCTACTCTCGGGGCAGAAGCAGCCCCCACCTCCTCCTCGTCAAAGTCGGCGCGGGCCTTTCAGCGCGGGCCGGCTTCCGGGCTTGCTCTTCGCTTTGGCTGTAAAGTGCAGTGCTGAGAACTACTTGCCTTCGGGTAACAACACATGTGATGCAGTCCGAGTCTTTCCCTCCGAGCTAGAACAGCGAGCACACGCAGCAAGCGGCACGTGCCTCGTCTACCACGGCCAGCGCTACATTCAGCAGGAAGAAAGAAGTAAGCTGAGCAGGCGAACAGGATAACGTTGAACGGCTCACAGATTGGAGCAATCCACGTCGCAAGTCGACTACAACTTCAGTCTAAGCAGTGCGCCGGTATCAGCAAGAAGAAGTAGACCGTGGCAGCCTTCCAAGGGCAGGCGCTGCGCGCTAGTGAAGAGGACAACATGGTGATCAATCCAAGGCCATGACCACAAAGTCGTAGGCATCTTGCACGCGGTACATGATATCGGTCCAGCCTTCGGAGGTTCTGAAATGTTCAAGCATGGGCAGTTCGCAGAATCCTCGCAGCGCCAAGTTTTGAATAGGAATCACTCGGCGATTGCACGAACTGTGGCGTCCACCTTTCTCGCTCTATGAACTTGTTCTCAGCTGTAAGCTGGGCACCAGACCCTCCATTGTCATGCATTGGAAGACAACTAGCAAAGCCCACAACATGTTGTCGAAGTTCATGTACTCCGAATCGGGTGTCAGCCTTAGCCATCATTCGGCTCTCAATCCCCTCTGCTTCTTTGAAAGACTTTTCTCGATGGAGCGCGGCTGCTTCGGCCCTCCGGTCTTGGGTGGTGGGGGCTCAGGCTCTCAATGGCTCTCAGTAGTCAAAGGCGATGTAGAAGTCAATGGCATAGGTACTGAAGTAGAGCATGAAGTAGCAGGTCAGCACCCACTGGCAGATGGCGATGCTCCCTTTCAGCCTCAGCTTCAGTGTCTGTTGGTTGCCTTGGCGTTTGTCGTCGCCCGCAGGAAGGCTTTTCAGCTGAAAGATGGGAATAACCATTGATGCATTGGAGGCCACGATCGGAGCGCACATCACCAGCAGCCTGCGCATGGAGAGCATCATGCAGAAGACCGTCGACTGGGCGAAGGCACTCTGAGAGAGCTCAGCGGAGACCACAAGGAACGTCTTTGCGTGCCACGCAGACCCTCCGAGGAACAGCACACTCCCCATAAAATCCCGGAGCCCCGGCGTCAAAAGCCCTGCTGTGTAGAGCTCCAAGCTCTGCAAAACGAGCCCAAGAGCTGCGACATACCCTGCCGGGGTGCTTTGTAGCGCTGCAGAGAGCTGTTCTTTGTCGATGAACACGGGCTTCAGGATCAGATTCTGGTGAAGCCGCACCAGGCAAGTCAAGAGCATCGCAGCTGTGGCACATCCTCCTCGGAAGACACCCTGTGAGGGAGGCGCGGAGCCAAGCTCCCAGAGTCCCGGCAACGGAAACTCTTGCCATGCCAGCGGGCGATGCAGCCAGCGCGCGCCATAAAGTGTCGCAAAGGCCCAGACAGCCAACAGTACCGGCACAGCCGCGGCGGTCACTCGCCGGGAGCCTCCCGACCGTGCCAGCTCCAGGAAAAGGTTCGCAGTCACGGCCGCGGCACAAGCGACCAGCCGGCGCAGGGACTCTGGTACCACGTCGGCGGCCGGCGACAGATTCTCGCTTCGGATGGCGGAAAGACCTGCCCCTGTTTGAACAACCCAGCGGCCCTCCTCTGTCAGCCGCAGCAACTTCCCAACCTCGCCATTGAGCGCAGGCGTGGATTCCAGGCCGGAAACACGCGCGAGCACCCCAGGACGATGCAGGCCAGGGGAGGCCATCGCATCGTAGGATGCCAAGTTGCCAAGGTCTTCGATTACACGTAGCAAAGTTTGCTGTGGGATTGGCGATTAGGACCCAGCGGTTTCTATCCCTCCAGCAAGGGGTTGTTTCTTAGGTGCGTATGGGTGTGGCACTGTCGAGTCCAGGAACTGGGCTCCAGCAAGGGCTGGCTTCCAAAACACTTGAGCCAAAATGGAGTATCTGTATTGCGGAAGAATAGAATCGTGGAAGGGAGCTGCAATGCCGGGCAGAGCGTAGTCCTTCTGAGAACCCTCGTACGCGACCCTTCAGCTGCGGTCGTGCTTGAGGCAAACTCAACCGAAGCAGTCTGCAGCGGCTGCTCGGAACGACGTCTGAGGCATCGACTTTTTGGGCTCACTTCCAGCGCACCAAGGCAGGTTCATCCTGCGTGCGAAGGTTCGCCCTAGGAAGATTCGCCTCCTTTTTGCAGGCTCCGGCCATGGCTCCTGCCATTCGCGCCGAAGTGGGGCCTCAGCTCCTCCCGTTGGTCCTGGCGTTTTTTTGGGGGTGCTTGAACGGGGCGCCTCCTCTTCCTCAAAGGCTCCTCTTCGAGGCCACCACAGAAGCCGCCAGAAGCTTCGCCTCGGAGTTCGGGCATTTCGGGCACGGGCACGGCAGGCACGGCAGGCTTCGGCTCAGAGAACATCGAGCACCCTGCAGTTGTAGGCACCGCCACACAGGCGGTCGTCGTCTGCATAGGGCCAGGACCTGTGAGGGAAAGAGTCCACCGACGAACCACGAAGCCATGCTCATCCATGCTCCAAGGTCTTGGCCAACACTGGGTCCCAGTGCCGTTTTGAAAGACTAGAACCTGAGGCTCAAACAGGAAAGCAGACCGTTGCAATTTTTTTGTTTGCGTGATCACCAACGGGCCAACGGCTCAGCTGCTGCCGGGGAACGGGATTCTGAGCTGTGTGGCATAGCCGATTAAAAACACCGCTCATCAGAGTGACACCTGCACCCGAGACGGTCAATGGTGTGATGGCACCACAAAGATGCATCTTAAGTCGGAGAACAATCAGCAGACAAAGACAGATGGAGCTCACAAACCTCTTCCGACCCGAAGCTACAACACGTCCTGAAGCCGTGGACGCTAAAAACCCCGGCGATGATGTTAGGCAGGTCTTGCTTCAGTGGCTGTTGGTCGCTGCATCTCCCCCCCCCTGAGACTTACAGGCCACCTACGATGCCAAAGACGAGGAAAAGGAAGGCTCCCACAGCCTCACGGGTGACGCAAACTCGAAGAGTTCCGCTACTATCACAGTAGCTTTCAACACCCAATCTTCCGGCTTTGCAACTGCTCCAGAGTGCCCAGCGGACACGTTGCCGAGGCGGGGAACAGAGCTAATGACCGTGTTCACGAGCACCTCGTGCTGTCAGCAGAAACGAGCATCCTGCCTTTTGGTCGAATCACGAAGCGACATGCCAGCGGCTGCTTTCACTTCTTCCAGTGGCTGAAAGGGCCCTCTGTTTCCATATCTCCCCCGGCCTTCATCTGCGGAACCGCGTTTAGCGACCGCAGCGGCCGCAAGGCGCGGAAGACACGGAAGAAGCCAAGACTCGGGAGGCAACCAAAGGCGGATAAGTGTTAAGTGGCAACACGGAACTCCCCTCGTAAAGGAGCGCTTTTCATGAACACGTGTTGCTCGAGGTGATCATCGACTCGTTCTTTCATGAACCGTGAACTGAGCACATCTGAGGACTGCGCCTGTCCGCTCCACCTCCTGAAATCCGTGTCAATGTGCGAATCGGTCCGTGTCAATGCAGGCTGAAGCGTTGAGCGGCGCTCAGCGGCTACTTGTATCATGTTCAATGGCGATGCACGGCTGCATGTCCCGGTCAAGCCGAAACCCGCCCCGCCTGGCAGATAGGTCGCCCAAGCCTTCGAAAGCCACTTTTTCCATCAGTGCAGACATGAAACCAAGACTCCATGTGACACTGCGTGTCGCAAGAACTGCCCCTAGTCGGACTGAGCAGGTCTGAGCTGAGTGCTGTCAAGATCACGATAAAGTCCAGCCAGTTCCAGGCCTTCATCATAATGCTGCTGCACCAACCCACAATCTAGAAGAACACCTACACAGTAGCCTGAGACGTCGAAGCATTCCCTTTGTCTGTCACACTGGGCCAGCCGACGTCTCGAAGATAAGAGTTTCTGTCCCAGAAGAAGCCCCAGGCGACAACCTCAGCACGCACACGCAGGACCCTGCCAGTCGGATTCTCCCCGGCTCCAGCCTTCAAGATGCCCTCCAGGGTGAAAAAGATCGTGAGCCCCAGGTCCAAGACGTTGTTGTAGAACCCGTTAAAACCTGGCGGCTTATGACATGACACAGAAGACCTGTGGAATCGCGCGCCCTTTTCCAGAAAGGGCAGAAAGGGCGAGCCGGGCAGAAGGCGCGCCTGTGTTGGCGTCACTCCGCCAGTCCACCAGGGCGAGGCCTCCAAGAAGAACACGGCGAAACCCATCCGGCCAAGGCCAAGCATGCCAAGCGTCCATGTGCAACACACCCTGAAGCCGCCTATTGAATTCAATGCAATGAGAAAGAGGATGATCCGGTCGAACCATACCTCAGCGAGCGTTCAAGAGCAGCTAGTACATGTGCACCTAACGTCTCGAGACCCTCGTGCAAGGGCTGCACCCATCCAACCAAACTCATCACCTGAGTGCCAATGCAAGGTTTGCGAAGCCACAGCAACTGCCGCTTGCCTGGCTCAAAGCCTCTTAGAAGGTACCAACAGTGACACAGTTCGGGATTCATCAAGTTCAGCAGCACTTTCAGGCAAGACGGAGGAAATTAAAAGGTTGCGAAGGCTTGCTTCCTCTTCCTTTTATCCTCAAGCTTCGAAGTTCACCGCCGTTCACCGTGTACCCAAACCTGTATTTCTCGAAGAGGATGTTTGTGCTTTGGCGTTGGTCTCCCTGCGAATCTCGGTTGGCGACATCCCTCACAGACTTCTTCACCGTTTTGGGCTGCCGACAAAATCCTCTGAAGACTTCACGAGCCCTTCAGCTTTGCTCCCTTTAGGTCACAAAATGTCCAGTGCCTTTGCTTAGCACTAGTCACCCTCTAGCCTGACTTTCCATATGGTATCACATCGTGGTGGACTCCTCTTGTACTTGTTACTATAAGCCTTCCCCCATCTCCTTCCCTTCCTCCGTGATTCCCTTACGAGCCATACCGGCAACGCGCAAAGACGTGGGCCTTGGGTCACAAGCAAACAATAAATGCGGAGAGAACCCGGGGAAGCCTGCCGAAAGGTCGTGTATCGGCCGGCCCAGGCCAAAATCTCTCTTCTTCTTCCCAGAGCGTGTTAAGCCCCCCGGCCGCCTAGCCCCCGCTATGTTTGTGGGGCTCATGGGCCAAAATCTCTCTCTCTCTCTCTCTCTCTCGCGGGCTTGGGGGTCGATCAAAACCCCCAGGCATCTAGCCCACCCGCATCTGGCGTGCGAGAAAGGTATGTGAGGAACGAGTATAATACATCCTGTGGCTCATGCCTTAAAGCGTAAAATGACGAAAGAGGATGAAGGGGCAGCATCCCACCCCTCCCCCGCGCGCACGCGCCCTGGTCTCCAAGGGTCCAGAAAGTAACACCACCAGATCTTGCAGAAGTGCATACAACAGCAACATCCCCCCTTTTAACGAACATTAGATTAAACCCCGTGGCTCATCTTAAGGGCCTCGCTCTCTCTCTCTCTCTCTCTCTCTCTCTCTCTTTCTCTCTGTCTCTACCACTTCCTCTGGCTCAGGATCGGCCATGCAGATACAAACTTCCACCGTACACTTAGATCTGCCTCTTCTGCATGTCCTGCTCGAAACTGTGCAGTTGGTAGGTTCGCAGCACACCGTCTGGTCCAGCCATCTAGACCAAAGACGAACAGCGACTTGTTGCAGATCTGGGCGTGTGATGGGAGCAACTTGGACTCTGGGCTTGGGCAACTCCATTGCCTGGAAGATCTTGCCATGCACGCTCACCTGAAGGCACATCCCGAAGTCGCAGCTACAGCTACAGCATGTTCCTAGCTCCAATGCCAACCAATCCGTTCTGAGACAGCCTTACGCAGGGGAGCTGTGTAGAACAACTGCTCATGACCGCGATCTTTCAGGGAATCAATGCTGCTGCGCTGCGGTGGGCTGAATGCCCAGTTCGGCATTGCCCCGATCGATAAGCTCGAAAGCCTGACCAAGCAAGGTCGTGTCAAAGTCGGCACGACTGGGCAATGCGAAGGCCGTGAAGCAGACTCCATCAATCTTGCACCTTGGGCTTTCTTCTGTGGATGCCGGCAGGATGCACCTGCAAACCACATTATGTGACACCTGTGATGGACACAACCGGTTGGCAGGTCGGAACAGCCGGACAGCAGGAATGACGTCAGAGCTATATGGGTACCGCTTCCTGCTGCCACTGCACTGTTGCATGTTGCTCTCATGCTGACATAAGGGTCAGGGATGGATGAAGCAAATTACTTGTCTCGGAACAGCTGCTGCAAATGCTTCGCATTGTGCTCAGCTGCCGGTAATAATAATGAATAATGAAGTTTACTACATGCACTGCCTGCCTTCTTGTGCTCTGCTCGTTCTGCCACCCTGTCATGAAGATGACTTGTGCAGCATGTATCGTTGACTCAGAACTTTGCACAGCACTTGGCTCGGTCTGTCCTACGGGGGGCTTCATCCGCAAAACACATATGCCTCCCGGCCCCCAAAAGCATGCCAGGGGGACCATATGTAAAACGTCAACATGCTGAGGTCCACTCGGCAGCAAATCCTTGGACACTCCCCACAGCGCAGAACTTCAGGAAGTCCCAAGCCACCGGCCAGAGCTTCTTTGCGCCCTCAATCCCCAGTCCTGACCAGCTGTCTCAAGAGAGGTATGGAAAGCTTCGCGGCTGGCTAAACAGAGCCGACGAAGACCTGCATCTGATGAATCTGGCAAGGGTGAATTCTGATAGTGGCAGGCAGCAGAGCACTGCTCCCGTCCTGCAAACGTGCATTTAAGGGCAGGCTGCTGCCAGGAATCCCACGATCGAACCTTGTCAGCTGGGCAAGGTCTTGCCATCAACAAAACAACGTCTCCAATCCCTTCTGAGTTTCCGGCCCCCAAAACCAAGTTCACGCCAAAGAAGAAAAGTAAAGACTATACTGGGCAGCCGAACCGAATCGCAGCCGACTTTGGCTCATGTCGCATGGCTCGGTGAATGCATGCACACTCGTCTCTTTCGTGAACGGACGGAAGGAAGCAGAACGTATGCACATCATCACAGAAGCAGACACTCTCTGTTGCTGCCTGTATCTCGTGGCCACTTTCTCTCGCGCGGAAAAGTTTGTCAGTGCATGTCTCAAAGGCCGTGCAACAACGAGTGCATCACGGTTCCGTGACTACGGCTGCTAGTCGAGTCCAGTCATTGACGCAGTGACGAACTCCTGGGGATTGGCATAGGAGTCGTAGATCAAGTACAAGATGATCAAGACCAACACTGGAATGATGAGGAAGTACGGTCCTGGAGCACGGCACCACAATCAGCGACACATCTGGATTCCCTGGTGCCGACAAGCTGCAAAGCGTCAGCGGTTTGATTGGACGTCATCTACGTCAAACGAAGAATTGACTTAGGCAGGCACCCACGAACTTGTCAACGAAGTTCTTGGAACTTTCATCACGACGCTTCCAATACCTCTCCACCTCCTGTCTTGTGATGCCAACCTTGTCGGTGCAATGCATTCAGTTTCTAGCATTGGTTCAGCAAAGTCTGCGTGAAACGGAGGGCACCTCTTTGTAAACGTCCCGCTTGGCTGGCAGAAAGTTTGGTCGCTCGTCGTCGTCGCTGGCAGACTTCAGCACCTGCAGAGGTGGCTTTGGGCCGAGGCCCGCTTAGATTTTGCCATGACTTCGGGTAGAGACGGGAAGAGGCGGATGCCTCATCCAAGCTTTTCTTGACAATGGACCTGGACTTCTTCTTCGGGGCCTGCAAGATGACACTCGTTACCAGAACGTAGGAGCAAGGAAGCTAAAGGAGTGCCTTGAGCTCGCGCCGCTTCAGCTTCTTCCCCGTGGCCTTGTCCACGGCCTCTGCAAAGCACGACTTTCCCGAGACTGGGCTGACCGCATCGTCCGGCCTTTTGGGCGCTCTCCGACAAAGAGCTCGCATCCTCTTCGTCCTCTTCCTCCGGGCCAGCGTCCTTCTTCAAACCTCTTTTCTTCAGGACCTTAACTTCGCACGACTCTACTACCCTCAGTCCGAAAATGCGGACTTCACTAAGCACAGAGCTTCATCAAGCTTGTCCGAAATCTCCTGTGCTTCGGATGTGTTTACCAAGCTCTGTCGCAGTTTGGCTTCTTGAGCCTTTATCTGGCCATATCTGCCCCTCTCTCCAGACTCTGCGGCTTGGGCGGTGAATTTGGAATGAGACATTGGTTTGCAGAGCTGACGCATGCGACACACGGTCCTTGTCTTCAGCAACCGTACGAGACTCCGCAGCAGCTGCTACTCGACTCGCAGGGCCTGTGCAGATAAGGCTGCACTTCATGTCAGATGCACATGTCCAGGTTCTGGGACCCAGGCGTGCTGGCCGGAACTGAACGAAGGCGAACAGAGCCGGACACAGCAACAGAAGAAGTCCACACCTGTTCACTTCCAATGAGTCTAGGATCAAAAATGTCTTTT